TCTTATGATAAATGTAGCAACATGATTAAGAAAGCTTGAAAGTGATTTTGAAAATTATTGATATGAACTAGATTATTATAAGAAGATAGAAAATATCTCAATTGCAAAGTCGAGTTGTTAATTTAATATAGACTTTATTTAGAAAAGAAAATTACACCACTAAAAGGAGTTAGAGGAAGGGAAACAATCAATAGTATTTTTCCCTTTAATTAATTTAGGGATGTCAATCATTAATTACAAATATTTAAAGAAAAAAATAAGGCAAAACATGTCATTCCAATAGTAATTAATAAAATAAAATAGAAATAAAAAATAAAACACAAAAATAGAAAGAAAAAAAATAAAAAAAAAATAAGCAACAACAAAGACTAAAAAAAGATTAAAAAAAATTCAGTTCAGAAATCATCAAGTTTTTGCATTTATGTCTATAACAGTTAATCTAGTCTTTAAGATGCTGAAAGTTTAAAAGTATAGTGGTTTAGTAAAAATGTCAACCAGTTAGTTTTTAGTAGCTATATGGTGTAGCTCCATATCTCCTTTAGTAACATGGTCCCTTATAAAGTGATGCATTATGTCAATGTGTTTGGTTCTAGAGTGTTGGATATAATTTATAGAAATACAGATGCCACTAGTATTATCAGATAGAATTGACATTGTGCCTACAGGTAATCCTAAATCAAGAATCTTTTGTTTTAATCAAAGGACTTGGGCCATATAACTTCCTAAGGCTATGTATTTAGCTTCAGCAGTGGAAAGTGCAATTGTGTTCTTCTTTCTGGTGGACTAGGAGACTAAGGATTATCCTATAAATTGACACATTCTAGAGGTACTCTTTCTATCCACCCTACATACTATAAAGTCTGAATTAGAATATCCTATAATCTTAAAAGAAGTGTTGTGTCTTAGATACTAGATTCTTAAGTATTGGATTCCTAGGAGATATCTAAGCATTCTCTTAACTACAGTCAGGTGGGACTCCTTTGAATAAGCTTGAAATCTAACACAAAGACAAACACTAAAAACTATGTCAGGTCTACTAGCTGTCAAGTAAAGAAGCAATCCAATTATTTCTATGTATTTCTTTTGATTAACTAATTTTCTATTTTAGTCTTTATCTAATTGAACACTGGAGCTCATGGGAGTGTTTATTGGTTTAGCTTTATCCATTTCATATTTCTTGAAAATGTCCTTAATGTGCTTCCATTTTCTGTTTAAGTAGGACAATTCTCTCATCATACTCATCTCAAATTCTTTACTCATTATTTTAGAAAAATCATCTCATAGCTTTTTATCAAAAGATATAAAAAGTATATCATCAACATAGATCTAAATAATGAGTAATTCATCTCCTACTTTCGTAAAAGAAAAAGAGTGGTGTCTATGCTATCCTTAACAAACTTTCTTTCTAAAAGGAATATGTTAAGCTTCTCATACCATACCCTAGGTGTCTATTTTAATCCATACAGAGCCTTTTTTAATTTAAAAACATACTTGGGAGTTATTATATAAACACATCTTCTTTTATTATGCCATTTAAAAATACAATCTTAACATCTATTTGGAAAAGCTTAAATCCTTTATAATAGGTAAAGGCTAGTAGCACTCTAATTGCTTCCAATCTAACTACAGGGAAAAAAGTCTCCTCAAAATCAATCCCTTATATTTAATTATACCCCTTAGCCACCAATCTCACATTATTCCTAACTACCACACCATAATCATTCATTTTATTCTTAAAGACCCATTTAGTTCCTACTACACTTTAGTCCTTAGGTCTTTCTACAAGCTCCTAAACATCATTCCTAACAAATTGATTTAATTCCTCTTATATAGTTAGGATCCAGAATTCATCATAAAGGGCTTGATTGATGTTTGTCAATTTAGTCATTGAGATGAAGGCAGAGTGGTTAACTTCTTTTCTAAGTCCACACCTAGTTCTACCACCTTCAGAAGGGTCTCCTAAGATCAACTCTTTAGGATGATTCGAAGAATGTCTTTAATCTCTAGGCAAAGTGTTTTGAAGTTCAACCCTTTCCTCTAGATTTTTAGATCATACTCCTTGGGTAATATCAACTACTTCAACTTTGTTTTGAGATTCTACCCTTTCCTCCATATTTATATTTTATACTCTTTGGATAATCTCACCTTCTTCATCTTCTTCCTTAACTCTAGACTTCTCAGAATTAGATTCATTAAAGACTATATGAGTAGTCTCTTCCACCACTAAAATACTCTAATTAAATAACCTAAAGGATTTCCCCACACTTGAATAGTCTAAGAACACTCCCTCATCAGATTTTGCGTCAAACTTTCTTATGTGTGATTTCCCATTAATTACAATGAAAACCTTACAACCAAAGATGTAGAGGTGATAAAGGTTGGGTATCCTACCATTAATGATCTCATAGGGTGTCTTATTTAGTTTAGATCTAACATTCACCCTATTCAACACATAACAAACTATGTTTACCACATAAGGCCAAAAGTAATTTGGAAGTGAATACTTAGCATGTATGGCTCTAGCAGCTTCTACTAAGGTCTTAATATTCCTTTCATCTACTCTGTTCTGTATAGGGATCCTAGGAGCTAAGAAGTTATGACTAATCCCTTATTTTTCACATAAAGTTTTAAATCTATCATTCTTAAACTCTCCACCATGGTCATTACAAATGGTCAAGATCTTACAACATAATATTTTTCTGAATCTAAGTGGAGAAAGATTTAAATTCACTAAAGGACTCACTTTTATGTGTTATAAATCTAATCAAAGTGAACCTCGAGTAGTCATCGACTATAACAAATCCAAAGACTTTTCCCCCTAAACTAGTAGTGGTAATGGGTCCAAATAAATCCATGTGAAGGACATTTAAAGATTTAGAGGTGTTAATGCCCTTAATGGAATGAAAAGACGATTTGACAACCAAAGGATGAGGAGATATCAAATCCTTGCTCACCCAATATTATGAACTTAAGTGACTCAGATTAAAATCTCTTTTGCTGGTTACGGATTAAGATACTACTTATATTTGGTACTATTAACTAAATCCAAAATTATAAATCTTCCATCAAGTCTACCACAAAAAAGAAAGAAAAAAATAGGATAAAAAACCAAAATTCTTAAAGTTTGAGTTAATGTCATAATCATTGACTCTAACTAGTGGCTAAAGGGACAACACTCATAACTACCCTTCCAAAATAGGGGAATTTTAAATATTTATTTAGGTTGACCTCGCAACACATGCCGAGATCATCAAATATATACTTAGAATCCCCTACAACTACATCAACATAGCTCAAAGCATAACTCAGAGTGCAACAAAGAAAGAGAACAAAAAAATCCTCCATGTATATGTATAATCATCATCATGTGGTACAAGTACAACCAGGCATGAAAACACTATAGAATACAACTTACAAGAGAAAAGAGAAAGTGGAGAAGACAGATTAAAGGAGGCGGGCCTATAGATCCCTCAGCTGTCCAACAACATCTATAAGAGTCTAGTTCTTTGTCGCAATAGTATGGAGCTTCTTCATGGCCTATGGAAGTGTAGTATCAACCACCACCATCACCTTTTGTAAAGTATTGTGGATCTACGCCTTTCTCCCAGTGAGGTGATCACATCGGTCGCGCCCCTCTAATATTTCATATCTCTTGGACATCACCCTTTTAATGTCAAAATGTCATCCATGCGACCTAACAATCTCCATATCTTAGTGCTCATGCTGGAAGAACTCTAGTGGTACCTACTCAAAGCCTGAGTACTCATGATAAACTGATCATGGTGAAATCAGCTGCTACCCATTGATTGACAACCTTCATCTGTAACACTAAAAGTGTAGCTTTGGTCCGTAGGATGGAGAGTGACATCAGTCATCTGATGTGGAACTCTGTCTCACAATAAAGTGTCTCCCAATGGAGTAACTCAGAACTATCCATCCTAAGGTGTACCAATACATCAATGATCTAATCGACGGTAGCAGTAAACTGGTGAAATACTCTGGAGATCCAGGATCGACGTAGGCTATCAACCATCTCAAAATCTCTATACCATTTACCCACATGTCACCGTTCCAGGTATCCAGGGCTGAGGGAACATAGTTATAAATCTTTAAAATGTAGTCAATCTCTCAGGCACTGCATGAAGAGTTACAGACAATGAGAACTCGAAATTGAAACTAAATGTATCCTTCTGGAATCACTAACCGCTACTTCTCCATCCTTCCCCTTGTTCCTTTCCACCAGCCATGGAACGGCATCCTATGCTGGTGATTCTGCTTTTGGTTTTGGCCATTCCTATTTCATCTTGGTTCTCAGGTGTTGGTGTTGTTGCTTGGAGCTGTTGCCAGTAGCCTGAGCTGTTGGTTGTTGGTGTTGTATTTTGGGGTTGTTGCTAGCTGCATGAGTTTGGAGTGGTTGCTAGCTGCCTGAGGTTATGGTTCCTAATACTGTTGCTAGATGCTTGAAGTGTTGGTACTGTTGTCTGAAGTTATTGCTAGTTGCTAGAGTTTTTGGTACTGTTGTTTGTTGTTTTTGCTTCTTATTGGATTTCGGCTATGCGTTCTCTTATATGGAGCTATTGCTTACTGCCAAAAGGGCTTTTTTTGGGATATTCTTGCTTTGTTCTCTTATTTTCTTTTAGTATTAGTGGAGGGAGGGTTTTTTATTTTAGTTTGTATTGTTCTCCTCTTAGGAGTTTTCTTTTTATTCTTAGTTTTGATTTGGAAGTTTTTCTTACAAATCTAATTTTCTTTCTTTATAACAGAGTTTTTTTTTTGGAATAAAATTGGGCATATTTGCCTCTAATTTTTTCAAAAAAAAAAACTTCAAATTTTATTTATAGAAATATTGTATTGTTTAAATAAATGTTAATCAAATTAATATTTATTAATCAGCTCAATTGAATAGTTAATCGATGCTTGAATTTTTTGATATTATATATATATATATATATATATATATATATATCCAAAGTGTATTGCTCGCGGTTCAATGTCCGGCTCACTCATTTTTAAAGCATTGCTTCCTCAGCAATCCGAAACGAAACGTATCCTTTTGGAATCGCCAACCGCTACTTCTCCGTTCTTCCCGTTCTTCCCTTCCACCAGCCATTGAATGGCATCCTCTGCTTCTTCTCAATTTAAACCAGAAGACGACGGTAAGAAATTAAGCAGCACTCTCCTTTGTTCTCTCTACTCTCCCGAGTTTGCTAATCACTGCACTCTTTCAACCTGATAGAATCGAAACTGGATGATTTGGTCTCCGAACTCCACGCCTTGAAGAAGCTATATGGCCTTCTGCAAAATAACAGCGCCAGGCCCGCTCGACCCGATCTGCCCACTGTTGATGTACGTTACTGCTACTTCGACTCTCATCTGTTTCCTGAAATCTTCTCTTGAATTATAGAGATGTGCCGTTCATTTTAGATGTTGGATGAGAAATCGAGGCGTCTCTTGAGGAAGCTGCTCGATGGCGCAACTCAGCAAGCTCTTCAGTTTCAAGCAAAGGTGCGTTCTTGAACTTCTTTCATGTGAGGTTTGTGATCCCTTCTTATGTCAAAAAGAATTCTCAAGAAACGAAATTGGTGAGATATTATTTACTTGATAATTTAGTTTCCGCTCATGTTAGAGTTTTAATGTGAAGTGTTTTTATTTTCTTATTATTTTTTTATTGAAAATTGAGTCGGTTAACATTAAAGTATAAAAGTTTTTTAACCTTGAAAATTCATACTAAAAATTTAGTTTAGAAAATAGAAATAAAGCTCTCTCAAATGAATCCTGAGTAGGAAAAAAACATCATTCCCGAAATCTTGTTATTTTCCTCATAGAGTAGGTAAAAATTTGCTATTATTATTCAGTCGGTTGACATTTATGATAATAACCATTGCAAGGATTACAAGGCAAAAGGAGAAGCAACCTTATCTACAGAGTAATATCAACCAGCCCCCTCCAACAATACAACTCATCCAATTTCATAAAGGGATAACTTATACCTGTTGCAACTCAAACTTTGTCTCCATTTATTCTCGATATAAATTGTGTACCAGCCAGCATGTTGAATTATAATAGTCTTAGCAATGCATGGCTTCTTCTAACTATTTTATTCCTTTTTTATTATCTCTGCTTTTTTACTTCTATACATCTATCTCTCGGTTTTATTATGGTATCAAAAAAGAAAAAAGATTTAATCAGTTTCGTAGTATTCTCATCATGAGCAATGTTGCCTCCTGCATCCACCAAGATTATGCAGCTCTCCTCACATAAGGAACTACTCTAATTAGTTTCATATGTCAAATGTTGTTCAGACATATAAGTTATAATTAAAGTAGGCCTTCAACCTTCTCTACCAAATCACATGTAATATAGCTAAAGGAATGAGCTTCAAGACTTACTCATTATCTCTTTGATGCCAAAGCTTTAGCAGACAACATTATAGTTGTGGAAGCATCTTTAGATAATGAAGACCCCATATTATATATTATCAATGGCTTAATCATGCCTTATCAAGCATTCAAGACCATAATCTAAACAAATTTTCATCCCATAAGTCTTGATGACTTTTAGTCTCTTCTATGCAGTAAAGAGGTACATATTTTAACTGAACAAAAAACATAGAAATTCATCAATTCACCATATTTCTAAGTATCATTATAGAGCATGAATCTTATCCCTCTTCATAGGGAAGGGGATTCATGTACCCCTTGTGGATGAAACATAGGCTCTTCAATTCACTCAAAAAGAGGAGAAAGACTAGGCCTTAATACCATAGTTTGCTAAATATATGACAAACAAGGCCACTCGGAAATTCAATATTGTCATCGATAGAACCCAGATTACACTCCAGCTATTTCTCTATCAATGCCATGGGACTTCATTAATACTCCCAAACAAGCTACTTAGATTGATAATTAGATCTAGGCATGACAATGCACTAACATTCAAACCCAAGCACCTTTAGCAAGTTTTTCATTGCAATAGAATAGACAACACACTTATAAGCTATAGAACTACTATACTAATAGTACATTCCAAGCATGGAATGCTACCCATACCTATCTATAAACTTCATTTATCCACTCTCCTCCCTGATCCAAGCATCTCTCATAATCTTATTTCTATTCATCAACTCAATATGGATAATAAACTCTCTTTCTTTTAATACAATCAAATTTACAAAAATGATAGAGTCAAATCACATCCTTCACTAGGGCCTAATTCAAAGAGGTCTGCATCTCCTTTCTACGGTGCAGCCCTCCAACAGTCCAATTGCATTGTTTTCCACACTTCTCAACTCCGCTCTCTGAAATAAATGTCTTAGACATCTTCACTCTTCTAGTATTGAATTCATCTTTGAGCTCAACAAACATTATGTATTTCTTGTTTCTTTATTATCACGTAATGAACTAAGGGATCATCATCAATAAATTACTTTACTACTTCATATTATAAACCCTTAGGAAACTAGTTTTCTCCAATATATGAGGGTCTTTCCCATTTATATTTGTTATAAGACACAAATCTTACATAAGCTTCACTAATGACTATTCGAGAAACATTTGGGTGTTTCCAATGTTTTCAAAGTTTGAAGTTCCTCAACTTTTTACTAACATAAAAAATATGATAAAAACTCAATTTCACACTAATATTAAAAATCATACAAATAGATGGGGGTCATGAATATCTAAATAAACTATTTCAAAACTTTTCTACCTCTAATGGAATCAATTCATGAAATAATCTATCCTTGCACCCATGAGAAAAAATAAGGTATATACCTAAACAAAAGCATCACCGCATTTTTAGAGATAATGAGCTCACCTATGGTAGAAGCAAACATACCTTATGTTCTTTAGCCAAAACACTTCTCATTTTGGATCATCTCGTCAATTGCGCCCCTCCTCAACTACTAATTAAAAACCACACTATCACACCTTTTTTGGCAAATCCATGGCTATGCTTGTTATTAAAACTTTTGCTATACTTTCTATCCCTAGCTTCAACCTCCTATTAGGCACAAACTATCTCTTAGATCAACACAACATGTATTCCTCAAGTTCAACATCACTAGAAAATGTTATCAATGCTTCAACCTTTAGATGGACTGTATCATTCTATTCCATTATATTGTACATAGTGAATTAAAATTTTCTTATAAACACCAAAATATCTCCCCCCACCAACACCCCTTTGTCAAACTACACATTCGCCAAACTTGTCTCCCCACATAACATATCCCCAATACCCCCTTACAGCAATCTCCAACTTCTATCATTTCTACTATGATAGCCCCCGCCACACTATATCATTCATCTTATGAAACACAATCAACTATCATACTTTAGCTATGTAATATGTTCTATGATTTTAACATTCAAATTACTAAGCCAAACCCACTTTATTAAGAAAATATCATCATTATAGCCATAACCACTAACCCCATTTTTCATGATCCGAAAAAATACATTGAGATTGATTATTAGCTCACAAAGACAAAGTTCAACCTATTAGCTCACAAGATCAACTAGTAGATATTCTCAATAAATGTCTCTCTACAAATTGTTTTTCTTATCCTAGGAACAAGCAAACCATCCACTCAAAGTCAATCAACTTGAGGGGAGGTAATGACCATCACAATGATGACAAGGCTTAAGGATCAACTACATTTTCTACAGAGAAAGGTCAGACATGTGCAATCAACAGCCCAATTATATTCAATCACAACTACTGAGGCATAATTGATACCTATTGTAACTTAGATTTTGTCTCTCTTTATTCTCGATATAAACCATATACTACTTATCATATTGTATTGCAATATCCTTAGCAATATATAGCTTCTTCTAACTATGCCATTCAACTTCAATTATCTTTGTCATATCTTCATCAATCTCTTAGCTCCATTAGATGAAAATAATTTGTTTTCTCACACATTTTGAGAAAAGACTATTCTCACATAATGTGCCGAGATTACGTAAAACTAGGAGATCATGAGCATTTATTTTTAAAGGTCTACTGAAATCAAATATGAACATCTAGAAGGAATTTTTGAATAGCCAGGAGATCAGTGTATAGTATGCGAATGTTGATTGCCATGACTACAAGATAATGCACAAATTCTTGTCTTTGGTATAAATAAATAAATAAATTAAAATTCACGTCTTTGATAAATAGAAATGAAAACGAATGTCAAAAATTGTGGTCAAAACTAAAAGAATTCTTAAAATATAATTAATCATATATTTTTTTTCTTAATTTATGAGACATACATTTCACCTCAATTATATCATTTCATATTCATGTGTTATATTATTTTATTATTTAATCATGCATGCCTTTTCACTTATTTTATAATGGAACATGTATTTCAATTTTCTTTCCTTTTCCCGTTCTTCATTCTTGATTTGCTTATAACTATTTGTTCCCGTAGAAAATTTTCTGCACGCCTGAATCACTAAAATCGCAAGCGCAGCTCAACACAAGTGCTTCTAATAATGACCTCCAAAAGAAGGCTCCAGAGGCCAAAAGAAACCAAGAACGCGAACCCACACTGCCACCTGAAAGTTCGCCGGAGGCTGCGAAATCCACTCCAGGGGCCCAAACGAAAATAACTCACAGTCCATGTCCAATAACCGAGCCTACTAGCCACAAGCATCGGCGATCCGAATATGCGACAGTCCTCCGCAGCCGAGCCAACGATTCGGCTAGTCTCGACCGCCGTATAATGAGGAAGTCAGTTCAGCCATCTGAAAAAGGTAGCCGCCGTGTACTGTCGATAAGAAGTGGCGGCTCAGATCTTCCACCAAGTTCAGAGAAAGACGGCGAGGTTCTTGCTATGGTTCCAGTCCAGAAGCGTGCGCGGGTCGAACCGTTAGATCTTCCGAGCCGAGCCACCCTCCAAACTCAAAAACCGGATCAGGACGACCGCGTCTTGACTCATCAGAAAAGGGCCAGTAGAAAGCAACTGGGGCCTGAACCGAGCAGTATCAGAACCATGCAGCGTACGCATAGTTCAAAGCGCCAAAGTTCAAGAAGTTTAATACCATCTGGAGATCGGATTGTTCAGAGGAATGATCAATTGCCAGACAGTAAAACCAGAGTCACATCCAATAAACATAAAAAACAGGGTCGGCTAAACAGGTCGAAGGCCAACACATTATCTTCGTCATCAAAAGAATCGACTGAATCTATTTCAGATTCGACCCGTTCCACCACGTCCATCCCATTGAATCTGCAAAAGCATAATAAGATAAAGACAAAGACGAACATAGCGCCTCCGCCGCAGCCGCCGCAACCAACACTATCGAACCGCATAGCACGGAGATCACAAAGCCGTCACCTTTCTTTCCGTTCTCAAACGACTCCGACTGTTCAAGGAAATAAACAGTCCATAGAGAACAAAAGCCGGGCTAAAAAGCCTATCAAACCTGCCCGCCCAAACCGTTCAAGGGCACGGAGGCGTTGCTCATCCTCGTCGAATTCAACACGGTCAACCCAGCCCGGCCTGTTGGATCTGAGAAAGCAGAGCAGAGGAAGGACAAGAGGAAGAAGAGGAGTGCCGCCTCTTGCTTCACTGAAGCCCCCTATTCCTCACCATCTGGCTGCATCTAAATGGAAGCCACCAACCTCCCGGTCTGCAAGAACCCGAATGGAGAAGAAGCAAAAGGAGGAAGAGAACGAGCATGGAAAGATTAAAAAGTTGTCAAACAAACTTGCCATCATTTTCCATCACCATCATCACCACCACCACCACCTTCACGCTGGAGAAGACGACGAAGGCGGTGGCGGTGGCAACAAAGATCATGAGAAGTCTATATGGAAGTATTTAAAGGGGTTTCTTCATGTCAATAAAGGAAGTGGTGTGCAGCAGGGAAAACTGCATGGGCATAATTTTCGTGTGTTGATGGGGTGGTTTCTTCATCATTTATGGTGGACGAGACAAAGACGGAGCAAGAAAGTGGAGAGGCCGAGACTAGCAAAGAAGGTGAAGTGGTGGGATTGGTTTAGGAGGAAAAGAGGGGTTGCAGTCGGCGAGCGACCGAAGCTGCGGCTAGGGCTTAAAGGTTCTCACCGGCGAGCTGGCGAGCGGAAGGAATGAAGGAGTTTTCCACTGTTCCTCATTTGTGATACTTGCTTTTATTTTCGGACAAGGGCACGATTTTATCAAAAGGAGGACAATCTTCTAAACATAAAACATATTATGGCTAAAGTAAATATATTTTCCGTTCAATTATATTGTTCACTAATTAAAAAAAAGCTCCGTTATTTTAATTATTTGTGCTGCGTCCTGGAGTATTCGCGGCGGCAGAGAAATATAAAATTTATCATCTTAACGTTGTACGAAGCTCCAACACACAAATAGATATGAGAGAGAGAGAGTGTAGCGTTAATAAGAGACACCAGAGTTTTTATGTGGAAACCCCTGAAAAGGAGGAAAAATCACAGGGCCTGACCCAATTTGAATGAATCCACTAATATTGCAGTCGATTACAAATGAGGTCATTCCTTGGGGAGAGGGCCTTGGTTTGATGGTACAAATGTACATCATATAAAGCACATTACTTGATGAGATGTATAAGATAGACATGTTTGTTTGGTTGGCACGATCATAGTCGATAGGATAGAGGTTGGAAAGACTGTTGTCTGGTGATGGAGATCAGAAGGATCATAGTAGGCGACGGAGTTTAGAAGGACCATAGTCGGTAGGAGATAGGGGTCCGAAAGCCATAGTTGGCAGGAGATCTGGGTGAGAAAGACTCTTGTCCGGTGATGGAAGGACCATATTAGGCGACGAAGGTCAGAAGGACCGCAGTCGGCAGGAGACATGGGTTCGAAATGTCGTAGTTGACAGGAGATCGAGGTCACAAAGACCGTTGTCTGGTGATGGAGATTGAAACGACCATAGTAGACGTCAGAGATCAGAATGATCGTAGTCCACATGAGATAGGGGTCCGTAAGATAATAGTTGGCAGTAGATCGGGGTCAAAAAGATCGTTGTCTACTAATGGAGGTCGGAAGGATCATAGTAGGCGACGGAGGTCAGAAGGAACGTAGTTGGCAGGAGATAGGGGTCCGAATGACTGTAGTTGGCAGGAGACCGGGGTCCAAAAGACTGTTGTCTAGTGATGGAGATCAGGACCATAATCGGCGATGAAGGTCAGAAGGACCGTAGTCAGTAGGAGATAGGGGTCCGAAAGACTATAATTAAAGGGAGGTACTATGGAGAACTCTCGGTGTCAAGTGGTGGCCCGGTAGAAGTCTGAGTCTCAGGTTGTGGTCTGGTAGAATTTCGGGCCTCAAGTGGCGGTCCGGTAGAAGTTCAGAACTTAAATGGTGGTTCGACAGAACTACGAGCATAAGGTTGTGTCCTGGTGGAGCTCGGGGCCTCAAGTGGTGGTCTGATAGAAGTCTTGGCCTCAGGTAGTGGCCTGGTGGAGCATAGGGCCTCAAGTTGTGGTTCGGCGGAAGTTCGGTCCTCAAGTGGTGGTCTAGCAGAGCAATGACATCAGGCGATGATTCGGCAGATGTGAGGGCTTCAAGGGGTGTCCCGACGAAGAAACGATGTCAGGCGGTGGTCCGATAGAGGTGAGGGCCTCAAGTGGTGGTCCGACGGAGCAATGACGTAAAGCAGTGGTCCGGCGGAGGTGAGGACCTCAAGTGGTGGTCCGGCGGAGCAACAACGTCAGGCGATGGTCCGGCATAGGTGAGGGCATCAAGTGGTGGCCCGGCAGAGCAACGATGTCAAGCGGTGGTCCGGTAGAGGTGAGGGCCTCAAGTGGTGGTCCAGCGGAGCAACGACATTAGACTGTGGTCCGGCAAAGGTGAGGGTCTCAAGTGGTGGTTTGGTGGAGTAACGACGTTAGGCGATGGTTCGGCAGAGGTGAGGGCTTCATGTGGTGGCTTGGCGGACCAACGACGTCAAGTGGTGGTCTGGTAGAGGTGAGGGACTCAAGTGGTGGTCCGGCGGAGCAACGACGTCAGGTGGTGGTCGGACGGAGGTGAGGGCCTCAAGTTGTGGTTCGATAGAGCAATGACATCAGGCGGTGGTCTGGTGGATATGAGGGCCTTAAGTGGTGGCCCGACGAAGCAACCACGTTATGCGGTGGTCCAGCGGAAGTGAGGGCCTCAAGTGGTGACCCGGCGGAGCAATGATGTCAAGCAGTGGTCCGGCGGAGGTGAGGGTCTCAAGTGGTGGTCTGGCGGAGCAACGATGTTAGGTGGTGGTTCGACTGAGGTGAGGGCCTAAAGTGGTGGTCCGGCGGAGCAACGATGCCAGGCGGTGGTCCGGCTGAAGTTCGACGATGATCGAGGAGGAGCTTCTTCCTACTATTCTCTTCTTGCTTGGAGCCCCCCTTTTCAAGAGAAATAAGGGGTCTATTTATAAATTTCTAGCATGGCATGACCCGTAAATAGGTGAGAGATCAAGGGTAAATGGGGAGTGGTTAGATGGACGGCCGATATTGAATCCCTTGGTCGTGTATCATTTCTTATACATTTAAAGGTTTTAATGATGCAAAATTCTAGGGGTGTCAATATTTGACACGACACGAAAACCCGACCCGGACCCGACCCAGAAAATCCGGGTTGAACCCGACCCGATTTCAAAACGGGTCGGGTTCGGGTTCCAGAAATCGACCCGTTTCAAAAACGGGTCGGGTTCGGGTTGACCCGGCGGGTTGCCGGGTCCCAAATCGGGTCGGGTCGTGTCAACCCGGCAACCCGCCGGGTCGGGTCCGGGTTCCGTTTTTCAACCCGTTTCTCTACCCGGTTCGGGTTAGGGTCGACCCGTTTCGCACCCGGGTCAGTTCGGGTTCGACCCGAACCCGACCCGTGACCCAAAATTGACACCCCTACAAAATTCGATGATCTTGGGCTCTTTGGATTCGTCTCGTCGAGCCGCTCGATTCGACTATAAGCATGTCATGTTTGGAAACCTTTCGGTAACCCAAATTTTGGTTCGAACCTTCCAACAATGCTTCGAGTCCTTAATTTGGATTCATTTTGGCTTGGATTGAGTCGAATTTGGTGTCGTTAGGTTCGTATTTTCGAGACGTTCAATTTAATTGTATGTTTGCTGAAATAAGAGTTTGGATAGTCCCAATTTTAATTTCGGAAGTTTCCAACTTTATTTTGCATCGAGATTTGTGCCCAATCAAGAAAATTTTTTGATGGCGTATCAATTTGATTTGATGAAACTAATTTATTGAAGAAATCGACATGAGCACTGTCCATTCATATAAGAGAGAAATAATAATAATTCATAAACTATTAATCACAAGCGATAAAATTCTATCATAAAATTTTGTTTTACTAGTGAATTTGTTTTTAAAAAATTCTAAATAAAATTCAAAAATCAAATATGAATCTGACTAATTTTGAAGTGGGCAAAAAAAAAAAAAAAAAGAGCTTATGGATAATAAAATTTAACGAAAAGAGGAGGTTTAGTGAAAATATTAAATAGGAGCTAATACACGAAAATTTTTGACATTTTCTTAGAAAACATCGAATCATTAGATATTTTTCTAAATTACAGATTTTCATCAATATATTTAATGTAAAATTATGAAAAAAATATTAAAATTAAATTTTACTCAAATGACTATTATATATTTTGATTAAGATTTATATAAACTAAAATTTTATTTTACTTTTTTATTAAATAATATCAAGTTGAAACTGTTTGATATAAACTTTAACGCTTGAATATGTGAAAAGTTTAGATTAGCTTCAGTGACAAATAAGTTTAGAGAGTGTCTTTTTAAATGGTTTCGACACAAAATATTGGACTTCTGATGACCAGAGTAGAAGAGTAGATGTATTGAATTTTGTCTTGTTTAAGATAGATAGAGGTAGACCTACAAATGTTTGGTTAAACAATATTAAAAGTCAACTTTGAAGATTTTAGCATTGATATGTTTTAGTAAAAAATAATAAAATTGAGGGGTCTAATAAAATTAATTTTTTAATAAATGAGAATTTTAGCACTGATATGTTTAGGGAATAAATTTGGTTTCAACAATTTATATATCTTTATAACATATTTTTTAATTTTATATTTGAAGATTAAGACTTTATTTGGGATGACTTTCTTAGTGTTTCTTACACTATAGGAAAATTGTCAATTACCGTTGAATTTTTTCGGCAATTAGTATAAAGTTTCTGACGGTTTTGCAAATTACTGGCAGTTTTCCGGTGGTTTGCTAACCGCTGGTACAAACCACGTAGGAAACAAATTACGACACTCAGTTTCCGGCGGCTACGTTTTCCGATGGCTTTCCGGGGGTTAACACAGCCGGTAAATTTCGGAAGTCATAGCACTGGCGACCGCCAGTAATTTCCGACGGTCATAGCTCCAATGACCGTCGGGTAATTACCGGTGGCATACCGGCCATCTCAAATGTCGGTTTTGCTAGTGGCTCAGTTGCCGGTTAACTGCATGTTGACCATCGGTATTTACCGGTGGCTATATTAAAATTTTGGAAGTTAATTTTCAGCTATATGAAAATTTTGGAAGTTAATTACCGGCGGCGGTGAAAAAAAGAAACACTTAAGACTACAGCTTGGCCGAAGGTAAAGGCGCCACGAAAACAAAAAACCGGCAGCCAACTCGGGGGTTATTTTACTACCAACATTTTCGGTGATTTATTATTAAACATCGTCGAGTAAATCGCCGGTTAATACCGACTGTCAGACAGCCAGTTAAACCGCTGGTAATTTTGACGTTTATTTGACCAACTGAATAACCGCTGGTAATCGTTGAATTTCCCATAGTGTTAATGAAACTTTGTAGTACAAAAAAATAAATGTTTGTACTTAAAAGCTGCTTTAAGAAGTAGTAAGAAAGTAGTCACAAAAGAAGCATGAGTTTAAAAATTGTTAAATATTTATATGTTACAAATCATTGGTAATATTGGGGCACAATTTTAACCTCTAACCAGGCTTTATTTATGGGAATAGTGGACTTATTGTGATCTTATATGAGGAATATAATAAAAGTTGTTATGACAAAATTAAATTTTGAGGACATAGCATCTTATTTGGGATTTAAAAAATATATTTTCTAAGGTAACAGTAACATTGGATACCTCTTTCACTCTTGCTTGATTGATGCATAAGGGACCCCAGTACTGCGAGTTGATAGATTTTAGTCATATATGTTATTATTTTTTATAGCTTTGGAGTGACAAAA